TCAAAATGAAACTAACATCCTCGTTGTTCTCTTCTGCAATAATTTCTTCCCATTCCCACTCCTCATTGTTCTCTTCTGCAACAATTTCTTCCCATTCCCCCTCCTCATTGTTCTCTTCTGCAATAATTACTTCCCATTCCCACTCATTATCCACAGGAGTGCTCATATTTTTCTTAACCTTTTCCACTGGTGGTTCAGCTGTGATGATCGAAGAGCCCACTAAATCCCTAAAAAAAGAAGAAAGAAAAATAGAATGTTAAACTAAAATATAAGATAGTAGGGTCAAATAGTTCAAACAAAGAAAAAAATCATTACGTTAATATGACTTCTTCGTTTGTAGGGATATGATCAAACTCTGGTGATGCCAACTTCTTCAGTAGTGGTAATATGTCTTCAGTTCTTCCAGCTGGTGAAGCAGACCTTTTCCTTTTGCGGTCATCAGTAGTAGAATTTCCTGCTGCTTCATCTGCTCCAGTCCTTTCCTCCTCCTCTCCAACCTCTGCCATGAATTCTTCCTGCGACAGAGACGATAGAAGGAAATTACTAATTAGGGTTACTTGATTTCGTTTCCAATCATAAAAATTCAATACAATACAATACAATACAGTAGGATAATAGAAGAAATTACACCTCACATACCTGAATATCCATCAAGATATATATGAAAAGATGGATAAATGAAAAGGCTTCTTCTCCTCAACCTGAACAATTTGATCTGAAAGAAAAAATTTCCATCTAACTGCTTGATATATATAGAAGTAATTCTTAGATCGCGAGACATCTCGAGCTCGATCGCTAGCTAAATAACACTCGCACGACGTCCTCCCACTCCCGTTCCCACCGAAGCAGTACCGACAGTCAAGCGAAGCGAAGGCCAGACTACTTTCTATTGTCATAAAAAAATATTTTGATTTTTAATAATTATATTTTTAAAAAATTATATATTATAAAATTATTTAATTAAACATATTATTATTTAGTCCAGTACTTGGAGGTCAACTGACCTCACTGCAAAGTAGAACAACTGACCTCACTGCAAAGTAGAACGTGCTTAGAATTAATTGAATTTGGATTCAATCCAGGTCCCCTTTCCTCAGCCCCGAAGAAAAATTTTCATTGTTCAAAAAAAAAAACATATTATTATTTAAAATAAAATTAATTAATAATTTAATATATAATGTATAAAAAATTTAAAATTTT